GATGCAAAGCTGACGATGGTAGAGAGCATCAACACTAGGAAGAGGTCCTTGATGCAGTTTCAGTAACGAGCAATTAAAAATGGGATGAATTTGTGAATTGGTAGGAAGCTGTAATTTATAGGCAACAACACCAATGTGCTCAAGAACCTTAAAGGGACCATAGAATCGCTTGGACATCTTGTGGTGAGAATGACTAGATGTCACGTCGCTTGGAATCAGCAATGTGCTTCGTGGTAGCTTGTGCTTTGGTGAGGTTGTGGATAAGTAAGGCATGGAGAGCTTCCCGAGTTGACAGCAAAGCATCAACAACTTCCATAAGGGAAGAGCCAGGCAAGTATTGGATAAGAGAAGGGGGAGCTTTACCATAGGTGACTTCATAAGGAGTCAGCCCAGTACTCGAATGCACAGATGTGTTGTACGACCATTCTGCTAGAGATAAAAATTTATACCACTGTGAAGGTTTTTCATGAACAAAGGCGTGCATATATTGTTCTAGGATCCTATTCAAAACCTCGGTCTGCCCATCGATTTTTGGATGGTAGGAAGTGCTCATCCATAACTGAGTACCGCAAAGCTTGAAGAGATTTCTCCAAAAATTGTTGAGAAAGATGAGGTCCCAATTTGAATCCAAACTACGAGGAAAGCCATGCAACTTACAAACAATGTCTAAGAACAGGGCAGCAACCTTATAAGCAGAATAATTGGTGGGTAAGCCGCCAAAATGAGCACCTTCCTAGAATCGATCCACCACTACAAGATGGTGAGCCAGTGATGAAATCAAGGGATAAGTCTTTCGATATAGTTGAGGGAATGGGAAGGGGTTGAAGTAAACTAGCAGGGCGTTTGGTTTCAATTTTAACTTGCTGACAGGTGATGCATTGGGCGACAAATAAACGAATGTCCTGTCGCATGTGATCCCAATAGAAATTAGCTTTGAGTCTGTGGAGGGTCTTAATCACTCCCATGTGCCCTCCCACGAGAGAAGTATAAAATTCCATCAGAAGCAAGGATTTACAAGGATTATCAATATTTAACCAAATTCTACCACGATACAATATTAGGCCATTGTGAATTTGAAAGTCAGCATGATTCAAAGGCTCATTGTGGATTTGAAGGAGCAGATTTTCGTACTTCTCACTGGCAGAGGAAGTAGAACACAACTGATCAAGGAACACGAAGCTGGCATGGCCAGAACCAAGCATTGATCATCAACCGTAGGGACTCTAGAGAGGGCATCAACAACCAGATTGGAATGTCCCGATTTATATTGAATTGAATAATCAAATCCAAGGAGCTTGGATAAATAAACTTGCTGTTTTAGAGTTTGGATCACCTGGGACATTAGTTCCTTGCGACTTTTATGGTCAGTGAGGATGACAAAATGGTGACCGAGCAGATATTGCCGCCATTTGTGCACAGCAGTAGTGATAGCATGATAGCATTGGTTCCTTGAGACATATGTGGAAGCTTGTTGTAAGCATGGACAAAATGACTTATTGAAAAAAGTGATAGGATGATCTCGTTGCATTAACACAGCTCCCATGGCAAGACCAGAAGCATCGGTTTCTAGAGTAAAAGGAATGGAGAAATTAGGTAGGGTGAGCACTGGTGCTACTGTCATGGCTCTTTTGAGGGCATCAAATGCTGATTGTGCTTTAGGGGACCAATTAAAATTATCTTTGTGAAGCAAATTGTTCAAAGGTCCTGCAATTGAGACATATCCTTGAATAAACTTCCGGTAGAAGCCAGTAAGGCCGAGGAACCTACAAAGGGCTGTGGTAGAAGAAGGAACTGGTCAATCCACCATTGCTTGGATTTTGGAAGGCTTTGGGGCCACCCCTTCCTGAGACACAATATGACCAGGTACTCCAGCTACTGTTGTGCAAACAAACACTTGGAGCACTTGAGAAAAAACTATCCTTGTAATAATGTAGAAAAAATATAATCTAAGTGAGAAAGGTAAGACTCAAATGTGTCACTAAAGATCGATATGTCATTGATAATTGTATAAAATAAGTGATTTGAGATGATGATTTGAGCACTTTTAATGTTAAAAGTTGGACTATTTTGTTAAATTTTCCCTAAACTTGGAACTTTTACAAATACTTGTATATTTCAAGAAAATAATGCAATTGTAGTGTTTTGATTCCTTTTTTTTTTTATCTATTTTGTAGCTGGAATCAAATGAAAGACATAATTTAAAGTTGAAGAAGATTGGAAAAAGTAAAAAAAAAAAAGCATATCAAGTATGAAGTTATAGAAAAGTTAACTTCTGGAGGTTTCTCACTATAGCGAGAATGCTTAATTATGAAGATGGTGATTATGTGCTCCTCTCACTACAGCGAGAATGTGTCGCTAAAACGAGAATCCCTTGTGTTGCTGTAGCAAGAACTAGCGCTGCAGCGATAGACAAACAGAATGACCTAATTTCTATCTCTATGTCTAGATACAGCGAGGAGGTGTCGCTGTAGCGAGATAAGTTCGAGCAGACCAGTATAAAATGCGACTTTTATGTTTTTGAAGGAACTTACTGTTCCATAAACATTTCCAGAGAGGAAGAGCGGCGCATAGCATAGGAAAAGAGTAGGAATGCTCATTTTTTATGTTTTACTCCGTTTGTATCTCAATTCTTGTTACTATGGTTGTCATGATCAGCTAAACTTTGTATGTGATTGAATGTAAATCTTCAAACTTGATGTAAATCTTCAAACTTGATGTATTCTCAGTAATTTATATAAATATAGTTGTTTCTTCATCATTTCTATTGATTTAGTGATTTCAATCCGTGTTAATGATTGAATTTGTCTATTTGATGGTTTCTAGAGCTTAGACGTGAGTTATATTTGAAAAAATATTATTTAGATCTAGATCTGGTTGAGATCACTCAATAACTGGTTACTCTAGGAATAGATTTCAAGTTATTAATTACTTTTAAATTCTGATTTTAATGCTAAATAGTTTGTTAACTGTTTAAGGAATCAACATGTGAGAAATTATCTTAGAAATATATTTTCAAGAAATTGAAATATAGGACTTTCATATTTTGCATCAAATTCGTTGGAAATAGTTGCTATATTTATTGCTAAATTACTAGAATACAGAGAGGGAGATAGATGAAATTTAATCCCAGTTTCTTAAACTTGAATTTTACTATATTTTATATTATCGTTTTATGTTTTAATTGTTATTCAACATTTCATGAAAATCATCATCAATTTTGTTGTATATAAGCTCAATTAATTTTTATCTTAATAATTAATACGTTAATTTTTCCCTAAGGACGATACTCCGGTACTTTACCGGTTATGACTTGCAACAGATCCAGTCTACTTGTCGTGTTTGAAGAAAAAGTCTTAACAAAGTATTTGGCGCCATTACCGGAAAGCAATGTGCAAATTGTATTAGTTTTTAAGTATAGTTAGTTGAGTATTGTAATTAGTTTTATTCAATTTTTGTTTGTCTAATTACTCTTTGTTGCTAATCTTGTTTTAAGTTTCTTGTTTATGATATTGCGAGGAAAAGCACAAGCAGATCAGTTGTTGTTTGATCCAGAAATTGAAAGGACATCCAGAAGAAATAATATTGCAACAAGGAAGAAAAAGAAGCAAGCCTAACAAGGAGCATCTTCAACTTCACAACTACTGGAAATTCACTCAGATTTAGAAAAGGAAGAAATGACTGATCCTGAAGAAAATAACCAAAGTGGCAATGAGAATGGTGGAAATCATGGAGGCAATGGAAAACCAAGAGCAAATCCACCACCAAGAAGAACTCTTGGTGATTATGCAATACATCAAAATCTAAAGCACTATTTAAGTATAGTGGTTTCACCCAATGCAAAGGTTGTTGAAATTAAGCCTACTTTCCTGAATTTGATTAGTTTAGGTCAGTTCTCAGGAAAGGACCATAAAAACCCATATGTCCATCTTGATACTTTAAAATTTTAAAATTATTAATTTTTTTTAAATGTAATGTTAATTTTTAAAAAAAGAATAGAAAATAATTTTTTTTAAAATAAAATTTTTTATAAAGAAGAATATTTTAAAAAATAAAAAAATAAAATATAAATAAAAATATAAAGAATAATAATATTATTTACATAATTAAATTTATTATCACAATTTTCTCTAATTTTTCTTTAAATATTAAACATCTAACGGAGAGTTTAAATTTTTTCTTTCTTTCTCTCTCAAGATATCCAAACAAAATCTTAGTTGATAATATAATTTTTTTACAATAATAATATACTAAAATTAAATTTTATATTTAATACAATTTAATTATATTATTTAATAATCAAAATACAAATATATATTTTTAATCAGATAATTAAAATTTTCACTTTGTAATTCATTAAATAATTTATAAAAATTCATAAAATTAATATATCATAAACTTATATACATTTTATTTATTATATTTATTTAAATATTTAATTATTTTTATTTATTAATTTATATAATGAATAATATCTTACACCTTTATTATATTTTATCAATTTTTTAAAAATAATTTAAATAATTAAAAAATTAAAAAGATTAAAAGAAAACAATTACAATTAAAAAGAAAAAATACACCTAAATAAAATATGGAATAAAAAATAAGATTGATTTTATTAAAATATAAGGTGTTGATATGAATTTAATTGTTAAATTAAAGTATTTTTAAGAGATATTTTAAACAAAATATTTTAAAATTTTATTTGTGTAATTTTTTAATATTAAATATTTGTTTTTTAAAATTAATCTTAATTTAAATTTTAATTATTTCATGATTTTAGAATTTTTTAATATAATATAATATAATACAGTAATTGTTTTTGAAATTTATATAATTTGTTAAATTAAAAAAAAAGGTTATACAATAAAACTGTATATTTTTATTTTAAAAAATAGTTTAATTCAGTATTACGGCGCAAGAAGCCCCAAAAACCATATTTCACCCCTGAAAAGCAAACCAGAAGCTAGCAGAGCAGAAAGTGCTGGTGGATTCAGCGGAAGATGACGGAGGTGGCGAGATCAGTGGTGCACGAGGTCTTTGGTCAGAGACTCGTCGACGTCGACCAGCCAATCGTCGATTACATCGTTAACGTCCTCGCCGACGATGACTTTGACTTCGGCCTCGACGGCGAAGGCGCTTTCGAAGCCATCGGCGAGCTCCTCGTAGCCGCTGAATGCGTGGACGACTTCTCCGAAAGCCGCACCGTCAGTCCCAATTCCCAATCCCCTCACTTCGCTCTTCTATCAACGTCCTCACTTCCTAAACCCTTTCTTTTCTACGCAGGTCTGCACCACCCTGTCCGACAAGTTCGGGAAACACGGTCTCGTGAAGGCGAAGCCAACGGTTCGAAGCCTTGCGGCGCCGTTTCGAATGAACGACGGAATGGACGACGTGGAAGCCCCCAAGAAGAAGCCCGAGCCCGTCGACGGTCCCCTCCTATCGGAACGCGACCGTTTAAAGCTCGAACGACGAAAGCGAAAAGATGAACGCCAGCGAGAGGTTCTTCCCCTATTCCACTCATTTATTTATTCATTCATTCATTCTCTTGTTTATAAAGGTTGAGTTCGTTTCAATAGTATAGAATGATGTGATGTGAACATTGAATAGGCACAATACCAAATGCATTTGAGGGAGATGGAAGCGGCACGTGCCGGGATGCCGGTGGTGTGCGTGAGGCACGACAACAGTGGAGGACCTGCTGTGAAGGACATTCACATGGAGAATTTCAACATCTCCGTTGGTGGACGTGATCTCATTGTGGATGGTACTGTCACGCTTTCTTTTGGAAGGCATTATGGTTTGGTGGGAAGGAACGGGACTGGGAAAACGACGTTCCTCAGACACATGGCTATGCATGCCATTGATGGTGTTCCAAGGAATTGTCAGATATTACATGTGGAGCAAGAGGTCGTTGGAGATGACATCACTGCCTTGCAGTGCGTGCTCAATTCGGACATTGAGAGGACTCAGCTTCTTGATGAAGAAGTTCAGTTACTTGCCAAACAGGTTGAAATTTAATGTGTTTTGCTTGCAATTTGTGTATGCTTTTGAAACTGGGACAGCTGAGGTATTGTGGGTGTTTGGCAGAGGGAGTTTGAGGACAATTTCGGAAAGCGGGATGGTGATTCAAATGGAGTTGTTGATAAAGATGGCATTTCACAAAGGCTTGAGGAAATATACAAGAGGCTTGAACTCATTGATGCTGATTCTGCTGAGGCACGAGCAGCATCAATACTAGCGGTGAGTTCATTAATAATTGATTGAAGTCACTTGTTGGAAGATCTTATTGTCTTATTAGCCGCTTGGAGTTTGTTGAATTTTGAATTTTAGCTTATTCTTATGGTAGTGTCTTCCACTTTGCCTTATTTATTGCATACTGGATTTTCTGAAAGGAAAACATGTAATGGTACAAATACAAAATCTGTACTCTAACACATTTTCAGATATGGGTCTCAAATGTGCTAGTATATGAATTTCTCTTCTACTTTCCAAAACCATTATCTTACTGATCAAGGGCATTTTCAGGGTCTGAGTTTCACTCCAGAGATGCAGAAGAAAGCAACAAAAACATTTTCTGGAGGATGGCGGATGCGTATAGCCCTTGCTCGTGCATTGTTTATAGAGCCTGATATATTGCTTCTTGATGAACCCACGGTGACTCATAGTTCCATGTTTCTTTTGTTATTCATGGATGCCGTAGTTTATAGAATTTCCGTAATTTTATTTTATTGTATTTTATTGCAGAACCATCTTGATCTTCATGCTGTCTTATGGCTTGAATCGTACTTGGTTAAATGGCCGAAAACGTTTATTGTTGTTTCTCATGCTAGAGAATTTTTAAACACGGTAACGAATTGGCTTATCTTGCTTTGATTAGGTGTTTTGTCGATTGAGTGCTATCTCTAATTGTGTTCCCCATATATCTTTTACTTCTCTTGTTAACTTCATCCTTAGGTGGTTACTGATATAATTCACTTGCAAAGCCAAAAGCTGACTACATATAAAGGGAATTATGATACTTTTGAGAAGACTCGAGAAGAACAAATTAAAAACCAGCAAAAAGCATTAGAGGCAAATGAACGTGCAAGATCCCATATGCAGGTATCATTTTCAATTGTTAAAGCTATTTTTGTTTTTGTATTGAGATTTTTTTTTTCTGCCTATTTCATTATCTTTTTTTTTTTTTGGCATTATACTATATTACTAAGACAATGTAGTCACTTCCATGGTGATTGGAGCTTACAGTCTTGGTTTTAGTGTAAATATTTTGTTTAGCTGTTAGCACTTTGCATTTGACTTTATTTTTCTGAGTTATTGTGATATGATGCCAGATGCCTAACAGCCGTTGCTCACTCATATTGGTTTACTGGCTTGTCATCATTTAGAACTATACTAATTAATTTCTGAATCTCTATGTCAAGAAGACCAATCAAGCCTTGTTGTACCACTAAGTGGGTTAAATTTGTCAATTGATATTTTATTTTATTTATTAGTTAGGCCAATTAGTGTAAAAAATTAGATCTCAAATAGTAAACTATTACAGAAATTAGATCTCAAATACTAAACTATTACAGAACTATTGATTAGTATTACTACAATGATTGCATGGTGTGTGGACATTGACTTTCTCAATATGCTTTCTGATATCAGTTTGATGTTGTATGCACATATATAGTATTTATATTCAATGTTGATACTCATACTCAGATAATAAACTCATATTTTTGGTATATCCTTAATATTTGGATATCTGCCATCCTCTAAGTACTTGCCAACCTCAAAATTATTGCATAAGGACCTAGGGGACAGAGAACACATGGTACATGGGATGGGATGGGATAAGTCACATTTATAGGTTCAATTTTATTTGTTTCCATATACAAATATAAACATCTTATGCAACATATATTGTTGTGCCCTATCCTTTTTTAAAATAAAACTGGTACTGGATAGGATACTCGCATAGGTACTACCCTGCCTTGTGCTGCATTGGAAAAGAAGATTTTGATTTGAGACTTAAGAATACTAAGAAGTAAGAACGATCTGATTTAAGGCTGAATTGTGTGTCTAGACAGTCCGCACAAGGTTGTAATATGTAATAATCAGAGCCATCAATAGTGGGCTTTGGTGTTGCTATAATGGCATGGTGTGGTGGATCGGTTGCCAGCTGTTACAGAACTTTCACTGTGGTGCATTTTGCTGTTGCGGATGTGAAGGTTGCTTTGGTAGCTTAATTGCAAAGTTGTGCAGTGCCAATGTGCCATAATGTTAGGGAGAAAACCTTGATAAAAAAGAGTGAGGCAGAGAGGAAACTCAGGTTTTCCGTTGGAATGGATTTATTTTTTTTCTCGCGGGGCGGGTGGTTGGAGAGCTTTTTTGGGTGACACCCACCCTTCACGCTTTGTGCACTGCCTCCGTACTGAACACTCAACACCCTATGATCATCTTGCCATCTGTTTGCTTGCCTTTTACAATTGTGGCCTCCCACTTTGCACTATACTTCTGCGCTTTTGGGGTCAGTTACTACCTTTTGCTATTTGAAATTGATAACTATGATATATACCAGTATTGGGATTAATTATAATGATTCAATCATGATTATATAGATATGTTCAATCCTAAATTAGTTGCTAATACTGTTTGTAATTGATTTCATAGTGATCATATAATACCATAACTTTCTAAGATATTCTTGTTGGAAATAATAACAGGTAATGCGCTTTGGAATAGTATACTAATACTGTTCATGGGAATTGGTATTTAAGAGGCATTCAATCTCCACTAAGTGCATGCTTGGTTCAGCTTATTTTGAAGAAATAATCACTTGTTAGAAATAACTTATTTTTGTCAGCTAACAGCTAACTAAGTGCATGCTTGATAAATAAGCGATTATTCATCCAAATGTAAAACATTTGCAAACATGTACTAAGTTTATTAAGAAACTAAGGGGCATTTAGAAGAGCTTATGAGGAGTTTGTAAAAATAGCTCAAGATTTTGATAATTATTTTTAGGTTATTTCAATAAGCATCTGGTATATTTTATCCAATTAAGTTCTTTTAAGATTATTGTAATAAGTTTCATGTTCTAATTTATTCCATAAGCTTCTCATGTGATAAGAGCTTATTGAAAGTGCTAGTTAAGTTGCTTACCCAAACACACCCTTTGTGTATAACATATTTATTACAAACTTTCTTGAATAAGCTAATTCATTCTCTACATTCTCTCTACAATGTTCTGTCCACTCTCTTTTTCTCTCCCTCTAAATCTCAGCAATTCTAACACCCTCCTTTGAACTAGTTGGCCGCTTGGTACATATTTATCATATGCACCAAGTTTGTCACATAGTTGACTTGGGCACCACTAATGGCCTTGGTGTGAATTTCTGCAAGTTGATTGTTAGAATTTATAAATCTTCTTGTGATATCTCTAACTGAATTCTCTCCCAATCGAAATGACAATGAAAAATGTACTTCTTAGTTCTTTTATGGCAAACAAGATTTGAAGATATATGTAGTGCAGCAGCTTGATTGTCAACTAGTTTCATTGACCATGAATCATGAGTGTTCAACTCTTTGAGCAAGTACTTTAACCTGACAAGTTCACAGGTCACAGTTCCCATTGCTCAATATTCAACTTTTAACACTTATTGCTTTTCCATAATATTTCTCCAGAAAAGAAACACTTTACCTTCAAGTAAGCATCTATCCAAGGGAGAGCCTGTCCTGTTAGCATTTGGATAACCCACATCTTTTTACATGTCCTTATCTTCATGCAGTAGGCCTCTTGCTGGTGCTCTATGAATGTATCAAAGAATTTGAACCATAACATCCCATTGAGAGTCAAGGAATAGGCTTCTGATTGCTGGGGTTTCAAGATCAGATCTGAAGTTTTGAGGTTGCTGGAAGGTTGTTTGGTGGCAGTCACTTGCCTGGAAGAGTAGGGAAGGAAAGTTCACTGGTCATGTGCTTTGAGGAATGATTTTGCTACTGAATGCTGGGTGCAGCAGAAATGGTTTTGTTGGGAGAAATGGGTTGAAACCAGGCTTAGATACCATTATAAGAATACTATGAAAGATCTGATTTGGGATGAACTGTGTCTAGACAGTCCACACACATGGTCTGTATGTAATAGCGTTAGTATTAAATATTAATTACATTGATTGAATCCTCAGTATACAGATATATATGCTCCTGGCCTAGTAAATTAGTTGCTTCTAATTGATTATGGATGTGATTGGTTAAGCTTTGAAAAAAGCTTTCTGATTACATTGTATTTTTAGAGTTCTGTTTTTTTTTTTTTTTTCAGATTCTACTCTTTCTAGCTTCTATGACAAAGGTTTACTGATTTTTTTGAGTTTATCCTTTCTATCAAAAAAACTTATCGAATTATCCTTCAAATTTTCTAGACACATTTTTAATTTAAAAGTATTTGTTTGATTAAAAGCTTAAACAAGCAACCCCTCTATCATTTACACATGATATGCTATCATAAATATCTGAAATTCTAACTGCCTTTTGCATTTATGATTCCATAAAAAATTGCCACCGTTTGCAATTCACAGAACTTGTGCATGTGTAGCATTGCATTCAAGATTCTATTTGACATCTGACATTTGGTGTTTTTCTTTTCTACCAGTCATTCATTGACAAATTCCGCTATAATGCCAAGAGGGCATCACTTGTTCAATCTAGAATCAAGGTACTTGTTATTGTCAGTTTATCTTAAAAATCAAATAGTCAAAAAGTTGTGTGCATATATGTGTGTTTGTGTATATATCATGCTTTCTTTGTATTGTTTAGCTGCTCCCTGTTTTGGTTGTTTTTCAGTTTCTGCTTAAATCATTGAAATTGATATTTTCCTTTCTGACAAACTTTTTTACCTGAAAAACTATTTCAGGCTTTGGAGCGAATGGGCCATGTAGATGAAATTGTTAATGATCCTGAGTATGATTTGCTATTCTTTTAGTGCTTATTGTATCAAAATGTATTTATTTCTGTTTAGCTTGCTTTGAGATTTTAACTATATGTTTTTTCTGGTGGGATATAGCTACAAATTTGAATTCCCCACGCCAGATGATAGACCAGGCCCACCAATAATAAGTTTCAGGTTGAACATTAGTCCCTTCTTTTACTTGCTTTGTGGATAATATTGATCTATACATACTGATGAATACAAAATATAATGTTTGTGTTTGTCACATATAGGATTTAGTCCTCTGTTTCCCTAAATTAACAATTTTTAATCATGTGTGCAGTGATGCATCATTTGGTTATCCTGGGGGCCCCACTCTGTTTAAGAATTTGAATTTTGGGATTGATCTTGATAGCCGTATCGCAAGTAAGAATGCTTATCCTAGTCCTATGAATGATTTTTCTTTCCTACCTTTTAGATCCATGCTATGTAACCTATGTTATACAATATTTTGGTTCAGTTTATATTAGCATCATATAGTATTCATTTTTATGATTGCTCAGCCTTGTATTGTGAGGATATGTAGTGGACATTTCATTCCTTGGTTACATCTTTTGGCAAAGTAGTATTAAATAAACCCATGTATGTGGGGAATGCTGTTAAAAATATGACATGACTCTGCCATATTGTTTTGTGTGTTGAAGATTATAACCTCAATGTTTGCAGTGGTTGGACCCAATGGCATTGGCAAATCAACTATACTTAAGTTAATTGCTGGGGAACTGCAGCCCAGTTCTGGGACAGTCTTCCGTTCTGCTAAGGTAATTATATTACATGTAAAGTTGTCTTACAACTTTATTAAGCAAAGTTACTTCTGTTTTGTGTCACCTTTATGACATTCTTTAAAAGTCTTGTACATTATTTTCTGCTTTTTACATGACACCACAATCACTGCTTCACTCGTGTTTGCTATATTTTCTGATCCAAGATAGCGTCAATTTTAGACTTAAGGGATAAACACAATTTATTTGAGTACTACTAAAATAATCTGGTCTATACGCCAGATTATAAGAACACACCAATTTCACTTGGTTACCCCCTAACAAGGAGTCTCCTCCTTCTATGTACAACAAACAGCAAACCAATATCTGTCTAAATTTGTCTACAGGAACAACCCCCTAAAAGTAACATACAATAATTACCCACATCTTTAAACATAACTGTCTAATCCTGCTTATTTTTTCTTTTGTTTTTCCTAGATAAACCTTGGCTTCAATGTCCTTGGGCTATTTGACCTATCAGTCCACTGAATTCTTAGTTTTTTCTGGTTTTTGTCAATCAAATGTAGATTTTAAAACCAGTTTATTTATGCTTCGAAATAGGTGATGTATTTTACCACGTTACACACAAACTAGAATGATAGGAATAGACCTCCAATTAGGAGAGTCCGTGGGAGGAGGCTGTCAAAATTATGGTGGTGTTTTAGGTATAGATGGAGGAAGAGTGATGAAAGAGATTTAATAATTATTGAGATGTATTTCGATGTATTGGAATCTTCATGAAACCTAGAGCACTAACCTTTATTTATGCTAATCATAGTCTTAACTAATTAAGGAAACAAATTATGATAAGGAAATATGGTAACTAATCCTATGAGATAAGGAAAAATACGGAAACTAATTCTAGAGGATAATCTAAGATATATGATTTAATATTTTTGGATGTTTTCATCTATTCTAACACTCAAGTTAAATCAATGAAGGAGATTGTTGGAATAAAGAGCAGAATGGAGGACTTTCGGAGTGAGGACACAACAGCCAAAATATTATTTGAAACACTAGTAAAATGTGCAATAGTGGATAAGATGGGGGAAGATGCAGCTGAAATTAAGAACACAACAAAAGGATGATTGAACTCATCAGAAAGAATAAGATGTTGGAGGGTTGACATGGTCGGAGAAATAATTAATTTGAAGAAAGAATCATGAAAATATAGTAGAACTCCAGATATCAGGTAGTGAAATAATGATGAGACAGGTCATGGAGGATGATACTGCCCTGATATTATGTTAAAATTATGGTTGTTTAGGTGTAGATGAAGGAAGAGATATAAAAGAATTGATATTTACTATGATGTATTACTATGTTTTGGGATGTTTATAAAACCTAAAACACTAACCCTTAAGGAAACAATTCATGAGTCATGACTAGAGATGATAACTAATTCTAAGAGAATCAGAAAATAAGAAAACTAATTGTAGAGGTTAATCTAATGATGAAGTATGATTAAATATTTTTGGATATTTCCATATATTCTTACCAAGGCATAGGCAGCTGTAGAGGATCAATAACTAACTAATAATGTGATGATAAGCTAGTTAGGTAGGAGGAAAATGTTAGCTCTGAGAATAATAAAAGGAGAGGGAAACACAATGGGAAGGACATCCAAACTGTAACTGGAACATTGGAGAGAACTGACTCTCAAACTCAGTAATCATCATGTAGCTCCTTATTTACCAAATCTGGTCTGTCACCCCACTGGTCATGGATCGGAATTAAGAACTAATCAATAAAAATTTAGTTTATAATCTCCTGTGCCAGTTTCTATCAACTAGTATCAGAGCTCAGATCTTGGGGCTGTAAGTACTGTGAGACAAAGCAATTGGTTAGCAATAAAATGAAGGGAAGACTGGAATTGATAGAGAAGGTTCTTGAATCACTGAATAGAGACCGAGACTGAAAGCTGGAGTAAATTGGATATAACCATATTTACAGGGGATGATACCTGTGGTTGAAATGAAAGATAGAGGTATTTTTGTATAGGGGGAGATTCAGAGGAAGAAAAGGTGCAGGCATTGATGGTGGTGCTTGAAGGAGGGCACTTGGTTCCATTGTTGAGAATCTTGTAATGCTTGATTCTTCTTGGGACGAATTCAAGACACAACTTCTTCAAAGGTATCAATCCCCAATTGCACAACACCCTTTTGCAGATTGAAACGTATGTAGGGGAAATTAAGGGGCTTGAATGCTTAATGAATTTTATCTTATGCATGTTTTTTGATTGGGTTACAAGAGGGATATAGGGGTACAGGTGAAGTTCTATGAATCTAAATCCCTATCTTCTCTGATCAAAAAGGCCAAGATGATAGAATAAAAAAAACATAACTGTGAAGGTAGAGGGGGATTTTTACTGACCCTACTCATGGTTGAGAATGACCTCAGTAGGTTCAAATCAAAGAGTTGGTGTGAAAGCCTTAAAGGGGTGAGTTGATCCCAACTCCAACGTCAGCCAGAATACCAATGATATGGGGGCAGGCAAGAGTAGAACAGGAGGGTCTAAGAAGTTGTAGGAGGTTTAGTTGCAAGAGAAAATTAAGAAAGGGGAATGCTTTAGATTTGAGATGTATGGGCCTGATAATATTTGTTAGAATTAGTATCAAATGCTATTGAAGGAAGAAAGGAATACATTGGATGACTTACAGGTTCTGCCTGACATTACATTTCTTGGCAGCATATGCATACCCCTCTGATTAAATGGAACAGCCTTCTGAAATTTGAAAATAGTTGGGAATTGGCAACTACAGGAGTTTCTCCCTACCTTCCACCATGGGGACAAGGTGGATATTTTTTTCAGCTGCCCTGGGGGCTGAGGTATTGAAAGGAATAAATCTCCAACTACCAGAGTCAATGAGAGGCATAGGAAAGTGTGGGGGATTTTAACAACATTCTGTTATTGTATTTATAACTAACTAAATAATGCAATGAATGGTTTGTCAGTTGGGATGAAAGGTTAGGTCTGTGAGAAGAATAAAACAAGAGGTAAACACAACGGGAACTGGGGAGGGCATCCTAATTCTAATTATTGGAGAGAACCCAGTCTCTTAAAAAACTCAGTAATTACCTATAGCTCACTCTTGAGCTAATCTGATATTTAGGAAGTAATACCTAAAATTTCAGTTTCTAATCTTTTATGCCCGGTTTCTCTCTTTGAAATTGTAAGAATAGTACCATGTCTATTCTTAACGGTGTCTTTTCATGCTTTAATATCATTTTGGATTATTAATTATACATATTTTCTGTCTACAGGTTCGCATAGCAGTGTTCAGTCAGCACCATGTCGATGGACTTGACTTGTCCTCAAACCCTCTTCTGTATATGATGCGCTGTTATCCTGTAAGTTCCTTGTATTAAATATTAATTAACTGGTTTCTGAATATTTTGTGCGAGTTATTGTAAATTGCAGCTTGATGACCAGATTTCCCCCATCCATCTAATCATTGTTAGGAAGAATCTAGGTTTTAAATTTTGGTTGTAGTTATATTGTGGGTCAATGTGGACTGCAATTGTGTACTAATGTAGTTGTGGCAACTACTACAATTGATATGTTGTTAGGATCCAATTGCAAGGTGTGGGATTTGGGTCTCGCATTTGAAGTGTGGGATTCCTGTGTGGGGTTTATGAGGCCTTGAACACTCCAACTAAAATGACTAGCTTTTGTAGTATGGATCTCACGAGGTTCTTTTCATATGTTATGCATGTAATGATACAGAATGAGATTTGAAACCTTGGGAAGAATGCAATGATGAACACCATACTTATTCAATTGTGTATTATGTGAAAGCAGATAAATATCTCACCCCCGCCCCCCTCCTCACCATCCTCCCTCTTTTCAATTGTGTAGTTTCAAACTTGTTTAGTACTAGCAATTATATTATTGAAATTTTCTTTTGGAAAATTTCTGCAGGGAGTTCCAGAACAGAAGCTTCGAGCTCACTTGGGTTCTTTTGGTGTAACTGGAAATCTTGCGCTTCAGCCAATGTATACTTTGTCAGGTATTTTCTCTATAGTTCATGTTGTCATCATAATATTTGGTGTATTTTTACTCTGGTTGTTGAGTTGCAATGGATATATAGGTGTACATTTCTGTTATGAATTATATTTTTTGACCTCTCTAAATGCTTTACTAGGTGGCCAGAAGAGCAGGGTTGCCTTTGCAAAGATAACTTTTAAGAAGCCACACATAATATTGCTTGATGAGCCATCCAATCATCTGGTAGATTGCTGCATCTCTCTGACATTTTTTATTGCTTCTTGGAGAGCTATTGAGTCCTATAGACTATTTTACTGTCAGTATTCTGTTGCACGAAAGTATGCTTAGCGCATGATAAGTCCTTGCTTTTGTTTTTGGAAGGCCTACATTGCTCAATGAATGATCTAATGAGATTAGGCTAATGGATTAAGAAAAACCAATAATATATTGTATTATAACCAAGTATCGCACTTCACTGTCATGATATGACACCTCAGCAGCTGGCTGTGGCACAATGAAATCCTTTCCAGCAGAAGTGAATTAATTTCTTGTTGTAACAAATTGACCCTTGCGAAGAAATTATAATGCTGCTTGTACCATATTTACTACTAGATTAAGCGACAATATAACATTCCAAAATTGTAGGATTTGGATGCTGTTGAGGCGCTTATTCAAGGTCTTGTGATGTTCCAAGGAGGCATTCTCATGGTATGTTCAATTCTCCCTCTGACACGATATTCTTTTTAACATAAATTGATTAGAGTGCTCTAAACAATCTTTTATATATGAATTGATGTCAGGTGAGTCACGATGAGCACCTCATATCTGGAAGCGTGGAGGAGCTATGGGTTGTATCCGAAGGAAAAGTGTCACCATTCCACGGCAACTTCCAAGATTATAAGAAGATACTCCAATCATCTTAGAAGAGTGAATTATATAGTTCACCTATTTGAGGATAGACACCTGGATGACATTTTTCTGCTGTTAATCTCAGCTGTCATACATGGGAATTTCAATTTTGCAATTTAACAAAAACTATGTTTCAGTAACATGATTTGAAAAATTTTCTTTATTATCATTTCATGAACAGAACAGGTGGTTAAATTAATTAGTACATAATTTGGTATGAAATTATTTTAGACTCTGAAGTACCAAAAGTTCCATTACTTCTCTAAGTTTATATACCATAAGCCGTTTCCCTTTTCTCTATTTGTTGTATTGTAACGTGATCATTATAGTTTACTTTGACATATCAAAGAGTTTCAAATTGGGCTTGGATTGTTTAAATGAACTAGCTTATGAGGTGATGTACCTTGTTGGTTGAGGAATAGGATGTGGGAAGTCCATGTCCATGATTAAGTTTTGCATCATGCATTGTATTGCTAGTTGAGGTAAACTCATGGCTAAGTAGCCCTAACCTTAAAAGCTAATTTATGAAATTGAGTTAGGACAAGTCTTAATTTATGAATGGTTTTTTATTTTTATTTTTCATTTCTCACGTAATAAATACTCATGATATAATATGGGTTATCCAATCATAAGAAGAATAACCTTCATGTTAAGTACTAGTCTTCTTAACTTTTTATTTTTGTTGACTATTTTAGTCTTTAATGCTAGACATCATCAATAATCAGTAACATAATATAATAATTCAATGTAATACGTTTTATTATTATGTGATAAAAACGATGTCATATATGATATGGTATATAATTTTTATTTTTACCTTAATATTATCATCCATCAAACATTTTAATTTTTAGTTCTTAAAATCTTTTAACTACTTATCTTTTTTATTTTTTATTCTCCTTCCGTGAAAACTATCATCATCGGTCACTATCTATATTCTTTGTTAGTAATAAGGTTACTGCATTCAACACTTATTTAACCTTATCATTTTTTCTCCCATCCAAGATTTCTTTAAATTTTGTATAAAGTCTCCCTCTGGGAGTTCTTGTTTATTGTTCACTAGCCTTACTTGAATTCTGTATTAGTTCTCCTGCAAGATAAAAAAAAAAACTTTGCTTTCATTTAGTCATATGCCTAGAATTATGCCTTTATAAAAGTTAAAAAAGAGAGTTAAAATCACTTATTTACGCTAAACTAACACCAAATATAATAATTTCCATAGAAGAAGAATTTCTAACTACTTTAACAAGTAAAATAAGTCAACATAATGCATTTTAATGTAAACTAACTACATAAATGCACTTATACGGTGAGTTTTTTGAAGGCAAAAAATAAAATAAAATAAAATGAAGAAGTTGAAAAAGAACAACTCTTATAAAAAAATAAACTACAACATTTAATTTTAATTTATAAAAAAAGGTTTAGTTTAGTTTACTGTTTTTTATTTCTTCTTCCGTAACTTTATCAAAAGTAGCTATATAAACTATTTTTCAATGTTACTATTATATTAAGAAATAATTGAACTTAACTTTTTTGTCACTATCTAACGTTACTGTATTTTAAAGAATAATTTAATTTGTTTAGTTTATATTAATAGAAATTAAAATATTAATTCTTTTATCATTATTTCTTTTTTACTATTGTTTATAAATTTTCAAGAAAGAAAACAGTTTTTAGTATTAAAAATTTAAAAACAATAAACATATAAGTAAGTCATTTAGAAATTAACACGACAAAGTCGATCATTCACAAGTCGGGATTATCTCCTATGACTTTGAAGACGAAATATGCATTAAAACATCAATCATTGAACATACACTTATTGCATATACTTCTACTCAGTTTCTTTTATTAATTTTTATGGTTTCATAATCAGGTGTTGGCCTTCACATCAATATCTTTAAAAAATACATTATTGCATATAAACGATGGTTTTGGTTTAGAAGTCTGTTTCAGCTAATGCGATTCATGTTTGGCTTTTATGACTTTTGAACAAAAGTTTTGCTCATAGTTAAAATATGTATAAAAAAACTTAAAAGTCAGAAGCATTTGCATTACTATTTTTTCAAATCCAACTAAACACAAAGCATGTTCTAAATATAATCTTTCTCATCTTTCAAATACAATCATTTACTTTACGAGTATTGTAACAATTATTTTTTCAAAATATTTTAATTATAATTTATTTTATTGATAGAAATTAAAATCATAAAATTTTTATCATTAGTTCCTTGTTAATGCTTATAGTTTTAAAAGAAAATATATTTTAACATTGAAAATTATAACAAAAAGATATATTACATATAAGTAATTGTGTACAAGTATTTTTTAGTTGGTGTTATTCTTTTATTTATTTATTTATTTTTGGTCAATGCTGGTGTTATTCATGGTTATCTTCTAGTTTTTGTCGTTTAAGTTGCACTTGCACATATGAATTAAATATTTATCATCTAGTGGTACTTCCATATTGTTGTATATACTTTTAATAAGTTTATATAATTTAAAAAGTAAGGGAACTAAAAACAAAAGAAAAAGGATAATGAAACTGTTTTTTCAATTCAAATATTTTTGAAAAAAACTTTATTGCATATAAATAATAATTTTTTTTTATTCAGTTTAATCCAAATAAGACATATCGCGCATCAACTTTCATTGGTCATCTATAGTTAAAATATAAATGATGGTTTAAATGTCTGATTTTAGCTTATGTCATTCAAGTTTGCCTTCTATGATTAAGCAATCAATATATATATATATATATACCAAATCAGACTCATTCAAATATGCCTTCTAACAGATAAACTATTACTTTCATTTATACTAATGAATGTTGATTTTGGTTGTGTTAGAGTAAATGATTATAAATATGTGATCGAAATATAATAAAGGGATAAAAAAATCAATAACATTTTCTTTTGTTTGTTATTAAATATTTGAGTTTTTTTTTCCTTTTTTCTTCTTTTTTTATACTTCTACACTTCATAAACATATATTGGAGGCAAAGGCCAATTCCTTGCAACTTGACACTTACATATAATGGTAGTGATGCATGGATTTTATGCTATGCATTATGCATCATTCCTAAACAAGTTTGCTTTGGTTTCACCAAAAGTTTTCTTAAGCTTTGGAATTGCAATGGCTTCATCTCAAATGACATGGAAATATGATGTGTTTGTTAGCTTCAGAGGTAAAGACACACGCAACACTTTCACCGATCATCTTTATGGCGCTCTCAATAGAAAAACCATTCTTGCCTTTAAGGATGACAAGAAGCTCAAGAAAGGTGAACCCATAGCGCCTGAACTTCTTCAAGCACTTCAATCGTCTCGGGTTTTCGTTGTCGTCTTCTCCAAGAATTATGCTTCCTCAACATGGTGCTTGCGAGAACTTTCCCAGATCCTCGATTGCGTTCAAGTCTCGGGAAAACATATTCTCCCTATTTTCTACGATGTTGAGCCATCGGAGGTGCGAAAACAGAGTGGGAATTATGAGAAAGCTTTTGCTGAGTATGAACAAAGATTCAAAGATGATGAAGTGAAGATGGTGGAAGTGCAAAGATGGAGAGTCGCTCTCACAGAAGTGGCTGATCTTTCTGGCTGGGATGTAAGAAATAAGTAAGTAATCTTCTCTAGTCTCTACTATCATGATTGATTCACCTTTTACCTCAACGCTGTTAATTATAGCTTATTTTCTGAAGTGCTAATAGCCAGTGTTTTATACTTGCTAGATTTTTATATATACACACACTAAATATGTCCCATGTACACACACACACGGATAATCCATTCTTAGTGTTTTACTGTACTTGAATATATCTTTCCTTTTCAATCTAATGTAGAGGGTTGAGAGAGAAATCTATATAGTGTACTAGAGAAGTGACACACAAGTTATGTCTCATTACATGTTTGATGAACAGTTTCTGAGAAGTAAAATACAAAAATCTCTTAGGTTGTTCTATACATGTATCTTTTGCTTTGGTTTTCTTGGGTGTTAATTTAGAATTCGTGATTTTCTTTAAACTTTTAGGCCAGAGTATGCAGAGATTGAAAAAATTGTTGAAGAGATAGTAAGTATATTGACTCATAAGTTGTCAAATCCTTCAAATGAACTTGTTGGGATGCAGTCGTCAATTGAAGAGTTAGAAAAACTTTTACTTTTGAGCTTGGTTGATGATGTTCGAGTTGTTGGAATTCATGGGATGGGTGGAATAGGGAAGACAACCCTTGCTACTGTTTTATATGAAAGAATCTCTCATCAATATAATGTTCGTTGTTATATTGATGATGTAAGCAAAATTTATCGAGATTCTGGTCCTATAGGCTTACAAGTACAATTTCTTCGTCAAGCTTTAGAAGATGAAAATCTAGAGATACGTAATCTTTCTGAAGGAATGCATTTGACAAAGACAAGGCTAAGCCATGCAAAAGCATTGGTCATTCTTGATAATGTTGATCTAGTTGAACAACTAGAAAAATTGGCTATATATCGTGAAGACCTAGGTGCAGGGAGTAGAATTATCATTATTTCTAGAGATAAACACATTTTGAAGGCGCATGCGGTTGATGCTCTTTACAATGTCCAACTATTGAATGATGACCAAGCTCTTCAATTGTTTTGTAGAAAAGCTTTTAAGTGTGATTATATTATGGCTAATTATGAAAAAATGGTAAAAGATGCTCTAAAACATGTTGGAGGACTTCCATTAGCAATTAAAGTCATAGGCTCATTTTTGTTTGGTCGAGATGTTTTGCAGTGGAGAAGTGCATTAGCTAGACTAGTAGAAAATCCCAGCAAAGATATTATTGATGTGTTGCGAATGAGTTTGGTTGAATTGGAGGAAATGGATAAAGAGATATTTCTAGACATTGCTTGCTTCTACAATAGGCATACTGAGCACTATGTGAAGAGAATGCTAGATTATCGTGGATTTTATCCTGATATTGGAATAAAAGTTCTCATTGAGAAATCACTCATAACCATTTCAAATGGTCAAATTAAAATGCATGATTTGTTACGAAAGTTGGGCCAAAAAATGGTTCAAGAAAATTCAACCGAAGAGCAAATCAAATGGAATAGGCTTTGGTGCTACAAAGATTTCTACATAGTTGTGTCAGAGAATAAGGTAAAGTATTTGTTTGAAAATGGAAAAATTTATATATTTCCATTTTTATAAGTGCCATGTATATCTAATTTTCTTTTTGTTTTTCTTTTCTTGTTTTCAATGATTTAGGAAAATAAGGTTGAAGTCTTAGTTTTGAACGGTTCAAAAGAATCAGAAACATTGATGGCTGAAGCATTGTCAAAAATGAGTAATCTTAGATTGCTCATACTGCATGGTATGAATATTTCAGGAAGCCTTAGACGTCTCTCTAATGAATTAAGATATCTTGAGTGGAAACGATATCCTTTGAAGAATTTGCCATCAAAATTTCAACCATATCAACTTGTTGAATTGATCCTAGAACATAGTCTCGTCAATCAACTGTGGAAAGGTGGGAAGGTACTAAATTTTCTTTTTTAAAATTAGACTTTAGAAATATAAACAAAATTATTAAAAAAAATTCTCATTTTCCTTCCTTTTTAATATGTTAAATTAAAAAAGTAAATTCAAATAATTTTCTCTGTTCTAATTGATCCTTTGCAGAATCTACCCAATTTGAGAAATTTGAATCTCCGTTACTCTAAATATCTTATTAAGTTGCCAGACTTTAGAATGATCCCAAATCTCCGGTATCTGATTCTCGAAGGATGTATAAAACTTGTGGAGTTGGAACCATCTATCAGTCTTCTAAGAAAGCTTACAGTCTTGAATATGAAAGATTGCAAAAGTCTTCTAAGTATACCCAACAACATATTGAGCCTTAGTTCTCTTGAAATTTTTGATCTCTCTGGATGCACGAAAGTGTTGAATAATCAGCTATCAGATATTCTATGGCATGCAAAGCATATGATGGAACTTAATATATGTGAAATTTCTATGGGCTCCCAATCAACATTTTCCATCTTCAAAACCCTTATTATGTTGCCGTTCCACCTTTGGTATTCTAGAGCATATAATTATTCAGCTAGTTGTCTTCTACCTTCATTGCCTAGCTTCTCTTGTTTGAATATCCTTGACCTTAGTTTTTGCAATCTAAGCCAAATCCCTGATGCTGTTGGATGTATTCAATATTTAGAGAGACTAAATTTAGGAGGCAATAAATTTGTCACATTGCCCAGCTTTAAGGAGCTTTCCCAACTTGTATATTTAAACTTGCAACATTGCAAGCAGTTGAAATCCTTGCCTGAGCTTCCATCACGAACTCATTTTCCATTTAAAAGAGAAATTATTTTTAATGTACAACAACCAGGATTATATATTTTTGATTGTCCAAAATTGGATGAGAGGGAACGCTGCAGTAGCAAGAGTTTGTCATGGATGATACAATTCCTTAAGGTGTGTACTAATTCCTTATTTCTTCCTCTCTCTATCTCTCTCTCTCTCTCTCTCTCTCTTTCTCTATGTATGTGTCTTTAGGAACTTACTGTGTTTGCAGTACCAGGCATATCAAGAATCCTCTGGTTCGTTCAGGTGGATTGATATTATTATTCCTGGAAGTGAAATACCAAGCTGGTTCAACAATCAAAGTGTGGGTAGCTCAATAAGCTTAGACCCATCTCCCGTTATGCATGATGATAATTGGATTGGTATTGCTTATTGTGTAGTATTGATGGCACTTGATGGTCCAACTACTTCAAGAAATGAGAGAAGACCCTATATAGTGATAGGTTCCAAGAAAGCAAATAAGGCACTTTGTCTTAATATTCCAGTGCTTCTTGATAAAGATCTGGTCACGACTGAATCAGATCACATGTGGCTATTCTATTTCACTAGAAATAATTTTGTTGATGTGAATGATATTCATGATCTTGTTGACTTCAAAATGGAAATTGAAATACGGAATAGTCAAGGCTTGCATTTGGAGGTGAAGAATTGTGGGTACCATTGGATATTTAAACAAGATATAGAACTAATAAACTCAATGATTCATAGAGAAAATTTGTCATGTCTAAACAACAATTTTTTGGCAGCTATTGATGAGCTACAATAATAATCATTGAGTTGACTCTCAAAAAGCAGTGCCAATTGCATTTTGGTTGCACTTCCATCAAAGTTTTAACTTGACCAAGAGGAAGAATTGATGGCATCATTGGGTACATAAGCAGAATATATAGCACATTTACAAGCTTCAATATTGTGAAAGGGAATTCCATTTTGTCGGACCAAGGTGAGAAATGTTGAAGATCTTTTTTTCTTAAGTGAACTAGTAATTTTGTTCCTAAAACTATAGTAACTTGTAATTTAAATTTTGAAATATATACACACGCAAGGATCAAGTTATTTTAAGAGCTACTCTGCTTGTCTCTTTTTAAATATTGAATAAGATCATATATTCATATTAATTATGCCTGTCAAATTTTATACAATTAAACATTTATAGCTGTTTAATTTTATATCATTAGTAACTTATATTTGAAAATGTAAATTAGATATTAAAATGATTTGGTCTCTAAATTTATGAAATTAATTTTTATTAGTTTTAATTGTCATGATCAATTCAACTATAATTGAAAGGTAATACTTAATGTTCCTTAGTCTCGTATTAATTGCCATGTTTCAAGTCACCCACTAAACAAATGATTGTAATTTCCTATATAAGCATGTTGTAGATAACAAGAGTAACGATGAATTTTAGAAAAGATGGCAAGGATGGATCTTAGCAAAATGAAGAAGGAATGCTAACCTTCACTGAGAAAATAAACATATTAGTTAGAGAAATGTTAGAAACAAATTTTGTTAACAAACTTTTAACTACTAACTAAAATTTATTAAAAACTATAAAAATTATCTAAATTTCATTATTTATCACTCTTAATTTAATATTTTTCTAATAATTTTATAATTTTTAATAAATTTTAGCCAAAAAGTATTAATGTATTAAAAAGTGTATAGAGAGTTTATATTGTTAGCCTTCCTCTTCTAATTTCCGCCAAATCATTTGAGTATTGAAGCTTGTTGAGTGACCCAACATCGAAAATTCAATTTAAGCAATGAGCTATTAGTATATCAATAAAAAATATATATACAATTTTCAAGACTTGGAATTAAATAAATGGAAATGTTTTCAATTATATTTCCGTTTATTTAAAGTGTCAAGAAGTGGCATAAAGGGGAATCGATACTAAGTAGAAATTACATAATTTTTTCAGTTGGCATAGGATGCTTTTGGTGGTTAGCATCTGTTTTATTTTAAAATTTTTGTTTTAATGTTTAACAAAGGATATAAATTCAAGTCTTTTTACGTAACTAACAAAGCTAAAACTTTTATGACTAATGCTTTCATTAAATTCCTTCCTTGACATATAATACTACTTTTCTTGTTCCTTATTGTAATTATGTTTAAAAACTTTTATATATGTTTTTTATTTTGTTCTAATTGAAAGGGTGATATGTGTTATTTCATCGTTGAACTAAGTCATTGAGAGAAATCAAAACTGAAAAAATCACAAAAAGTGTAAGGATGAAAATAAAAATTTTTTTTTAGAGAAATTAAAATAATAAAATGTGAAATATAGAAACTCAAATATTAATTATTGCTATTTTATTAATTACAAGACTAAATGACAAAGAATTCAAGTTTAAAGAGTCTAAAGCAAACGTGTTAAATACATTTAGACATATAACCTCATAGAGGTGAAGGTTGATAGAAAAAACAAGCAAGCTTTTGACTCATGGGTATTCCAAAGTGATGTTGAAGGAGTGTTAGTACCTTTTGTCCAAAGGTAAGGCTGAGGGGTGTTGGTACTCCTCGTCCAAAGATAAAGTTGAAAGAATATTCAATTCTCTATTTTGTAAGGGTGACCAAATGGTCCTTTATTCGGTACAAATGCATTATTTGGTTTAACCAAGTTTAGAATGATATTAAATTTGATTTTGAAATTGGAAAATTAGTTGTTGAGTTTGATCTTAGTGATTTTCAAATAATTGTTGAGGGATCCAAATTATGAAGTTTTTTTGAGTTTTTGAATATAATGCATATGTTAATCAAGATAACCTAAGGAATTAGGAAATTGTGGTTAATTACATATGGAGTTTTCATCCAAGAAATTAGAGTTGACTCAATTTTAGAAAACTTAACTTTTATTGCATAAGTTAATTAGATGAGATAATCTTCAATATAAGAGAAGCAAATAGAAGTGATCTAATCTTAATTGCTTTTATCAATTGAATTTTTAATAAATTTTGTATATTGTTGCTATGTTTGTTTCTTTCATTTACAAAATATAAAATTTATTTATTATATTTTTCTTTTATTTTTTGCAAAGCATGTCATTACATTACATGGCGAACTCAAATAAAAATCTAAAAAAGAAATATTGATATTCTGGCCCAATTTTCGTAGGAATGATTTAAATTACACTCAATAAAACGATTAATGCACTTATTATTATTGTTTGCATCTATCAACATACGAACAAAATACTAGCATTTTAGCGTCATTGTTGGAGATTGTGGTTTCAATATCAAGAAAATTAGGAGGATTTCTAGTTTGAGTATTTTTCTTTTATTTCTTTTTCTACTTTAGCTTTTAGCTTTTAACTTTTGTTTTTTGTTTTCAATTTCACCTTTTTTTTCTTTCTTCCTAGTTACAAAATTAGTTTTTTAATTATTTTAATTCTACTCTTCTTTCTAGTTTAATTCATAGTTTTATTATTAGGTTAGTTCTTTTCCATTTCTGTTTATGTTTTACTTCTGAATTGTTTTATTATTTTCTTTAATTAACTTTTCACTTTTTCTCTACCAAGATACATGCTAGGAGACTTTACAACTCCTACATTTGAAGGATTCTCCTTAAGCATAGTCAGGCAATTGATTGCTGCAAACGACTTCAAGATCAAACAACCGTTGTTGATCAATTTAGTCGAGTGATGTGGAAGATCCTAATTACCATGTTTCTAATTTTCTTTTTTCATTAAGGGATAGGGTAAAGAATTGGTTGCAATCTCAACCAAGAGGAAGTATTAGAACTTGGGAAGGTTTGTTGCAAAAATTCTTCAAAAAGCATTTTCCACCATCGAAGTACAATAAAATGGGAGAAGAAATCACATGTTTGTAGCAAAAGGATGATGAATCCATGTTTTTAGTCTGGGAAAGATTTTAAAGAGTTGCTAAAGAGGTATCCACACCATGGATTCTATAATATGCAACAAGTACATTTCTTCTATAATGGCATTAAGCCTTCAACGGGTTACTGATAGATGCATCAGCTAGAGGATCACTGAACACAGAGACTGTTGAGGAAGCACAAGAACTAATGGAGGTAATGACTTACAATGAATTCCAATTGGCTAATGAAAGGTCTTTGAAATATATATATATATATCTGCAATCTAATTAAACAATTGTCAGAGAAGTCTATCAAAAGTCATATATTGTAAATTTAAATAAAATGTACCGAAAATCTTTAAATTTGTATAAGTTTGTTGGTTTTGTTAATGAAAAAATTAATATAATATATATTAAAAGATTATATTTAATTTTTATAATTTATAATCGTTTACAATAATTTTTATATTTTATTTTTTATATACATATTTTGTTATGTTTTATTTTTTTTTGTTTTGTTATTTTGTATATAAGTTATTTTAAAATATATAGACTAATTAAAACATCATTAAAGTATAATATATTTTAACAGCTACCTTAAATTATAGTTTTTTTAGAAACTATTTCTTTAACTAATTTTGAGGGAAGTATTTGAACTTATTAAATATACTAATATTAATATGCTGTAAAAACACATGTTTTTAATTTTATGTTCATGACGTATTGACTTCTTTGTAGTGAATAAAGTTATTTGTTTAGACTAAAAATAATTAACGAAAAAACTTGAATGAAATGCTAAGCATTAGATAAGTTCTCAGAAATTAAAAATGTATAAAATGAATTGAGTTTATTTATTAATTAATAACTTTTTGTATATGTTGATATAATTTTGACTTAATTGAACTTTTAATTTTTATACTTTATCACATGTGAAATGTTCTGTCTAGTTTTTAAATATAACAAAAAAATTATTCCATAATTAAAGATTTAATTTGGAAATTTAAAAATTAAATAAATTAAATATAAGCAATTAAAAGTAAAAGAAAATAAAATGTAAAAATAAAAAATACAATTAAACTTTTCATTCTGACATGCATAAGAGAATGTCAGTTATGTCTTTTCATTTAACAAGTTTTTTTATTTTTTTTGTGTATTTTTAGTAAATATAATAAATAAAATAAAATACTCCATGTAGTTAACGCTAAAGTTATATTACAAATTTAAAATATGACCATTTATAAGTTCATTTATGACCCAATAGTTTCAGATGTTTTAAATAAAAAAGTATTTTAACCTTAAAAAAAACATTTAAAACTTTAGTAGAGACTTTTTTTTATTTTCCTTTTTTATACTCTTTAAATTATTATTTTTTTAATTTATAAACAAAGACTAAATTTTTTCAAGTGTTTGCTTATAATTTTAAACAAAATCATATTCTAAAAAACTTCAAATTTATTATTGTTTTAAGAAGTTAGTTTCAATAATATTAAATGTATACATATGTAATCAATTTTTAAAATAATTTTTTAGTAAATACAAACAAAAAATAAAATTTATTTTTAGTAAAATATAATTTATTTTTAGTAAAATATAATTTATTTTTTAGTAATTTATAAAATCAATATTTTAAAAACTTGAGTAATTGATCTTTACATAGAGAGAGATGGAAAGAGGATATCTTGTTGGTTAGTGATAAACCTCTGATATAATTAAATAATTGGTGAGAAAAACTTAGTATACTAATATTTTATTAATAAAAAAATTAACATAATAAATGTTAAAAATATATTTAATTTATATAATTTATAATAATTTTATATTTTAATTTTATAGAAATATTTAGTTATATTATTATTATTATTATTAACGAGTATCTTTAAATACTCGAAGTAATTAAATTAACATGTAAACTTTTTAAAAACATACGAACAAATTAAAGTATTA